TACACGTGGGCGCTCCAATACGTCGGCGCGACACGGCCGGGTGCACAAGCACGGCTGTGGATAAACGCGTGCAACTCTCCCTTCGCTGAGCTGCTTGGCATTTTTCACGATACAAAGTGGATCGCAGCCTTCTTGCATCCGCGTCACCGCACCTGTGCCTTCACCTCCTCATCCGCAGCCCCGGAGAGTGGGGCGCAGGGTCGGGGTGGGACAGCAGATGGCTTACATCTCGCGTAGGTACGTCTGAGCCTGGGAGCGGGGCAGGTGCGGCCAGGTGGACCTGGGACAGTCAGACTAGGTCCGCAGGTGGCTGTGGTCTGAGGCCTTCCTGGCTTCAGAGGTTTCCATTTGCATCTTTTCAGCATCACAGAGATTCGAGGCCTCTTGAAAGCTTAAAGACTTTCGTTCAACACTCAGGGGACCAATAGTAACTGAATCGCCACCCTCCGTGGTGCCCTGGCCCGGGCACAGAGAGGACCCCTGCTCCCGGAGGTCAGGTCACATCCTGGACCATTCTAGAGCCTTAGCGGACAAGCCCGAAGGAGGTGACCTCTGTGGAGTGAGCGGGGCAGGCGCAGGGTGGTGGTGGTGGGGTCCTCACGACCGGGGGGGGGGGGGATCAGGGAAAGCAAGGTCTAAGATGCCCTGAGTCAAGACTGGAGGGAGGGAGCAGCCATGGGGCCCTCTGGGAGAATGTTCCAGATGGAGAAAGGCACGTGCAAAGGCTCTGTGGCTGGAGGAGTGGGGAGAGGCTAGGCCAGGGCACAAGGGCTACTGGCCAGGGCCCCATGGGCTCTAACAGCATCCCTCTGGTAGCCACGCCAAGAGCAGTCAGAGGGCAAGCCTGGAGCCGGTGGGAGAAAGGCCTGGGGCTGGTCCAGGGGCTGAGAAGTGGTCATTCTGGAGATGTTCAAGGCCAGCGAAACTTGCCAACACAGCGACGGGAGTGTCCGGTCCCTCTGAGGGAGGCTGATTGCAGGAGCAGGTCTGGGCGTCAGGTCTAACACTGAGACTTGCAGCACATCGGCCACTTTAAAGCCATGAGGCTGGTAGGGCCACGTAGGAGGGAATGGACAAAGATCCAAGTGAGGCCTGAGGCCTGAGCCCGGTGTTTGGGAGCAGGGGGACTGAAACAGCACGCGGGCCCCTGTCCTCTGGCTGCCCGGTGACCCCGCACTTCCCGAAGGCCTCACTGGAACCCTCTCTCCTTCCTTGTGTCCCAACCTTTTGATGGAGTAGTCTGACTAACTGTCACTGTCCAGACAAAATGTGTGCCCTTGAAACAGGCACAGCTAGAAGGGCCAGCTGCCCAGGGCAGGCGCTGTGCTGGCCCTACCACCTTGGTGTCTCAGAGCCGTTTTACCAGCTGCACTGCAGGCTATCAGATTCTTCTCCACAGAAACCCCGAACTGCCCAGTGGCACGTGACTGATGAGTGCCCTGTGGATTTTTTTGTGCCAGTTTTAAATCCATTTGCAAACTCATTCCAGGGGTCCTGTGTGCCTGCGTGAGTGTGGGACTTGAGCTCTCCTTTGAACTGGTCCTGACACCTTACAGGTTTCCCAAGTAAAGCCGCTGGCAAGTGTGCATTTTATCTGTGCGAGTCACGACCGTCTCGCACTGTTGCTGCTCCCACTGCCCCGCTCCTGCCCCCTGCCCACCCCAAGTCCAACCTGGTGCCAGGCCCAGGGTCTCCCGGGAGGGGCCAGCGGTGCCCAGGAGGCAGATGCATCGCAGCCCCATGGCCAAGCATCCTGCTTCAAGTGCCCTCCTCACAGGCTCCAGAACAGGCCGCGCCAGGAGAGAGCACATGCCTGTGTTCCATGGATGCCCTTAAAGTTCCATGGACTTAAGTCCCCAGAAAGGCAGCCCACAGGGTTCAGAGAGCGTTCCCCCCTCCCTGTCCAGCGCAAACTGCTGTAAGTTTTAAATGAAGTGCTCATTTAAGGACCCAGAAAAAATGTCAAGTTAAATAGAAGCAACCCAACCGACGATTTAAAATCCAACAGTCCACCCATAGGGACACTGAACCGAGACAGGACGGCGGTCAGCAGCCCCCAGAGGTGCAAGAGGCAAACCCGGACGGGGGCCTAAGGGACAAGAGACCGGTCTCCACGGAGACACCAAGGGAGAAACAGGGGGACCCTGGAGATCAACCCAGTGCAGGCAGGGGCTTTGCTGGGGTCCCGGTTCACACCAGCGCCGCGTGTGCGTGCGTGGAACAGACACATCAGATGCGAAGACAACTGCGGAAACCTGGACCTCAGGTATCTGGTTACAGAACTGATATTTCAACTGTGAAGATGGTGCTGTGGTAATGCCGTGGGAGAATGTTAGAGACACACTGCATTCACGGCTTAAATTATAAAACATCTGGGATTTACACTAAAATAACCAGGGAGGAACATCATTAAAAGGTTTTGAAGTTGGATGACAGGACCCAGGGATCTTCCCCACTTTTATACGTCAGAAACGTTCCATAATAAAAAGGTTTTGTTTTTAAAATACCAGATCATCCCCAGAACGTTAGTGGTAGGAGGAAACAGGGTGATTTATTGTCTCCGCCTATTTTTTCACACTGTTGATAATGAGCACAATGTGTAATTTTCATAGTAAGAAAAAGGTATTTTGACAAAACCAAGAACTTCCCACCAGAGCACGCGGGCCCACGGCACCGCCGAGCCCAAGCAGCCCGCCTGCGCCAGCCCACCGCCCCTGCGGTAACCGCCGCGTGCTGAGGAAGAGGAACAGTTCTTACCAGACACAATTACAAGACAGGAAATTCTTTATTTTCAAAAAGAGAATGTATCTTTACATAAATCTACAACAGAGAATTCACATGTAGAAAAAATAAGCTATATTCCAGGACACGGTGCTCTGCACACACACCCCCTCCTCCCAGGGCGAGCTCAACACCAGAACCGACAAAACCCAAAGACCCTCAACATTTCAGGAAATCCTGAAGCCAAGCCACTGCTGCGCTGACCTGGGTCCCAGCACCTCCCGTCCAGCCACGCTGCACCCGCAGGGTCCTTGCCACAGGAGCAACCAGCTTCTAGAACGGCCGACCCGTCTGGACGTCTGCTTCCCCAGGACAGTTACAGATGCGTCTGTAACTGTCACTCTCTGTGTGACAAGGGCCACTGGAGGGTCCGGGAAGCCTGTAGAGGGCGGCCCCTCCACCTGCAGGCTGTGTCCCTGCACTCGGGACCCAGGGAAAGGCAGGGCAGGCCGAGGTACAGGCTGTGCCTCCGACTAGGGACGGACAACCCCTGCAAACCCAGAGCCTGAGAACTGGCCCGGCAGCCCCCTGGCCCAGGCAGGGATGTAGCCACCCACACCTTCTGGGGCCTGTCCATAATGCACTGGCCCCCACTGCCAAGGTCTCGGGGTGCAGACGGGATCAGAGCCCTGCCGGGAGGGTC